CCGGAGCGTGTGTAGTAGAAACTGTGCAAATTTGCCAGTCTGTTCAGGCAGCCTGATAAGAATAGGTACAGTCCCGTACCATACAGGCCGAGTTGCCAATTTTCGGAAGATTTTTTGAAAATTTACGAGTAGGTAATTATACCAATCTCTAGGTACAACCTTCAACTTTGAAAGCAAATTGATGTGGGAAAACTGTCTCGTTTTTTGTAGCCACTGTTTTGTCCAAATTTTTTTAACATATTTTTCTTACGGCTTTTATAATGCACTGTCTCACCAATAAAAAACCAACAAGAGCCAAAATATCGTCAGTCGCATCCATTGCCCACCAGCGAACTGAAGGGTATTCCGGAGCGTATGTGGAGAAGAGTGAATTCAAGCATTTCCGAAGGCCACACGACTGCACAATTTTCCTCAGAGGATTTCCGGAACGTGTATGAGGACCTTTACTGCAAAATAGCAGTTATTATCTATTAATTTTTTCATTCTTGATACATTTAAATTATTGCTCACACTTTATTATTAGGAATACAGATCTTATCTAAATTATATTAAAGCTTAGTCATATATTAAATAGGTACAAAGACTGGACTTTTACTTGAGCCCGTAAATGACAAAGAGAGTATACTTAATGAAATAAGATGGATGTACTATTATCTCTTACTTTTACATCGACATAGCAAACTTTAACTCGCATATATTTTACTTATCTGTGGATAAGTAATTAGAAATAAAGCTTTTAATTCATATCATTAATGTGATCTCTTTTATTCTTTTTGAGAAAGCAGAACTGTTAATTCAGGTGTCAATGACCACATTACCATTAGCAATTACTATGAAATATCCAGTTATTATTATAATCGCTGTCTTAAGGTGTAACCTTCATAGAGAATAATGTTTGACAACTTTTAGTGCAACTAGACAAGTTATAGCTTTGGTATATAAGTAGGTACTTAAATCTTAAATTCATAATTTTTCCTTAGTCTAGGAACTCATCAGACTTGGAATAATTAAAATGTTTCCAAATGGAAAGTTTTTGCCAAGCTATGACACACATTTTTATTACGTACCTACTTACAAACAATTTTAAAAACAAAATAAGACTTGATCAAAACAAAAATAAATTAATAAATTAGATAATCAAAAAATTTTATACAGCGTGATTCACAAACTGTGACCTAAAATGAAACTTCGTATTCTTTGGTGAAATTTAAGGGTCTTTATAAAATTTGAAAACACTTTTACTTAAATGAAATGACAAACGCTAATCATTCGGTTATTTATTCGAATAAAGAAATTAATAGCAGTAGTCATCATTTTAATGATTTTAATTGAGTAAATGCTCCAAAATACCTCCATTTCCACGAATACAGCCGCGACATCATTTTACTAGGTAACGAAAATGTAATTTGTTCGAAATTTATTGTAGCTTGAATCTGATGAAAAGCATTGTCAGGCTTTTTTCGAAAAACATAAGAGAGTAGTAATTTGTAGAAAATTGAAAGAGGAATCCGATAATATCATTATTGTTACCGCAAAGCCGCAAAGCAGTGGCGTACTGTTTTATTTAGAAAAATATGCCACCGATACCCTATATCTCCGCCACTGGAGCATCTGAATGTTAGGAAAAGGCTTCAGATTTTGGACAATACTTACATAAATACATGTGCCCCATTTTAAATTATTTCACTTACTAGTTTTTAAATTATTTAAAAAAATTTAAAACATTTTTTTTAAGTTTAACACCCTGTATTTTTTTAACGAAGCGTTCTAGATAAAAACTTTTACGAAAGATCCCCTTAAAATTCACCAAAGAATTCGAGATTTCATTTTTGGTCACCGATTGTGAATCACCCTGTATATTAATTAAGGCTTACTGAAATTATACATACAAAATTAAATGGTGTTTTTGGATAAAATGCCAATTACTAGGTACAGGGTGTTTCACTATATTTTGACCCCCCTTTAACTTTTTTGTTTTAAGAGTTATAAAAAAATGTGGAATATAAAAGTTGCACGATTTTTTATGAATTTTTCGAAAATGATAGTAAAAAAACAAATGAATTCGAAACAAAATGGCCGCGGATGTTAACTTTGTTAAGTTAACACGTTGACTGCGGTACATACCTCGGGGGGTATGTACTCATTATAAAAAATATGCGAATCTCAATAATCACATTTTTACTGTATCTTGTGGAAGTAGCAGAATCTGTAGTTTTTAGAAATAATGATTTTTCTATTATTTTCTTTTCAAAACTCTTTGCGAACGAAAACGTTAGTATCCTAAAATATATAGTTACAAATACATGCAAGTTTGTAGCAATAATTGTGTTATTTTTAATTTTATAGGGTCAAATGTAAAAAAAATTACATATCCTCAGGGATATGTACCGCATACAGAAGAAGTTTTGTTACATATCCCCGAAGATATGTTCGCAGTCACGGACAAAGTACATTGAGATTATCTCGCAGTCAACGTCTTAAATGAAACACCCTGTATATTTTTACATATTTGGATAGAAAGTTCCCTGTCGAGCATAGCCATATGGGGTTTGTTAGGTCCATCTGTAACAACAAGCAAGATACTTTAAAAAAACGAAAAGAAGTTTTTTTAATAATTTATAATAGGTTGTTAGACTTTCTTCAGGTTTCTTCTTTCAGGTATTTCTACCTTTTTTCCAATTACGTAAGGATTTACAGATTTAGTTGTCTTATTTGCTTAATAAAAAAACCTTCTTTTCGTTTTTTAATAGTATCTCGCTTATTGTTATCGATGGACCTAACAAACCCTACATGACTATGCTCGACAGGGAACGTTCTATCCAAATATGTAAAAATATACAGGGTGTTCCATTTAACTTAACATCCGCGGCCATTTTGTTTGGACTTCATTTGTTTTTCTACTATCATTTTCGAAAAATTCATAAAATATTTCACATTTTTTTATAACTCTCAAAACAAAAAAGTTAAAGGGGGGGTCAAAATATAGTGAATCACCCTGTACAAATTTAACAATGCAGTATATATAATTATTTAGATGAGGTCCCACATTGTTGCAACTATCAGATAGGTATTTAATTATTATTGCTAAATAATTATAATGTAGTTATGTTACTACTAATGGTTGTTTGTGGTTGTGCTGCTTGCAATAATAATTATTTATTAATCTTTCTAATACCATATACACTGTTTACGTGGCTAGTTTTAAAACAAAAATGTACCCAATTTATTTTACATTCATTAGATGATAGTAGCATAGGAGCATTACATTAAATCATTAAATCATACTTTTATTAAAACGCTTATAATACAACTTACGTTTTGGATCGCTGTCAATAATTTCGTTTCCTATCCGCCGTCTTATTAATTTTTATCTTATAGAGCTGATAAGTTAAATGACACACTTGTGTGACAAATGTACTTACACTAAATGTAGGGAAGAAGTCTTCCTTTTTCTAAATGACTTATGTATTAGATATTAGATCACTGTTTTTGAACGAAAATATATCTACCATATTTACGGTTCTACTATGTGATATACGGTTTATTGGCGAAGCTAGCATTATTTTTTAGTTAAGTGAAAACTAGCAGAAATTTTAAAGTATGAACATCAGAATAATTATTAGGTACATGGGAAGTTACAAAGTATCTTTTACTTTTTCGGGCCAATAAAATGTAACATACTAATTTAAATTACCAAAAACAACGTTAAATACAGTGGAACGATATAACAAATATGTAGGTGATATACTTCTATTAGGAGCAAACAAATCTATAATTAATTCTAGATCTACATATTTTATAATATTTTTTTAACATACATAATACCTATCTTGACCTATATAAATAATTTTTAATTATTTTTAAACTGCTAAAAGATCTCTCACATCTTGCAGTAGATTGTAGGTACCTACTATTTTTGATATATTACACAATTGATTCATTTCGTGAAAGACTAAGCAAAAATCTTGTAAAAGTACGAATTTTGTTTCTTTTTCAATTGAGGCAGCACCACATTCTAAAGTAAATAAGTGTTTTAAATTTAAAAAATATGGATTCAAAGTAGGTACTAAATCTGTAGCATTTTCATCAAATCTGGGACATTTCTGAAATATTACGGTTAATTATGAGAAAACATACCTAATTAAGTTTTAGAACAATTTTTTTCTGTAGGTAACACAGGCATCGTTTTCAAGAAAATCAATTTGTTGAACTAATATGGAATAATATGTTGTAATATCTGTAGCATTTTCCATACTTTTTCAAATTCGTTTTTTGACTTCCTTTATATTAAAGTTGGTCGAGAGGAATTTTGATTCGCGTCCACTCCAAACCCCGCCATATTTATCAAAAATATATAATGAATAAAAAAAACTATTTTAGGCAATCATAACTAGAACAAATTGAAAAAAAAATGTTGGAGACCTCTAGGGGGGTTTGGAACCTCCTCCTAACTCTACATTATACTAATAGTAATAGTTGAATACTTTTACTTTTTTAATAGGTGTATAATACAAAAACAAACTAAAAACTTTTCAGGGTCAAGGAATGTGAGGGATAGAGTTGTGAATTTGATCTTGATCGTAAAATATTTTGCTGGCAGCAAAACCCGACGTAAAGTGTTTGTGTAGTTTTAGAAAATTGTATTATTTTACAGAGTAGTTTATTGAGAATGACAAAACTCAAATCTGGAAATACTAGAGGCTAAAATGTGACGATTGGATCAATTAACGGTTTAGAGATAGGTACGAGTACAGGTTGTAGAAAATTAAATTATATTCAAATTTATTAATGATATTGAGTAACAACTTAAAAATGATCAGTTTTACGATTTTTGGCATAACAAATAACAGTTTCCAACTAATTTTGGTGTAGCTCATATTTATTAACATTTATTTTTCAAATACATTTTAACAAATCAATCAATTTTCAAACCTGNCCACTCGAGATATCTCGAGAGATTTTCATAATCGATATAATCGATAATTTTCATTCGAGTAGTCCCATCACTACAAATAATCATCATAGAATTTTATCTATGGTCATAGAGGATACAGGGGATACAGATGTTAGTTACAGGTATTGTATTTACAAAATATCAAATATATTTTTCTTTTTTGACATTCAAGTTCGTATTTTAGGCCCACAGACTTGTTAGGCCAGAGTTCCGTATAAAATACATACAAGACTAATGACTATAGTTCACTTTAGTGAGTTTTATTCATTTTTATTATTCAGTAGTGCGAAGTGGATATATATTTCTAATTAATAATTATTATCAATCATAAAACTATGACTAAGGAAGAAAAATATTCACATCTTCGTAACACTCTGATAGGTATTTCTTGCCGTGATAACGAGTTGAATATTTTAAAACAGCACTTTAGAAATGAAATTTTTTCCGACAGAAGGTACGACAGGATTCATAATCTTATGAATCTTATCAAGATATTAGAAAAACGAGACGTTATAAGCCCTAACGATATCAGCTCCTTAGGATACATTGCAAATGTATTGCAAAATAATGATATAATCGAGCTGATTAATCATTTTAATGTACCTACACAAGCCGAACCAGTTAGGCAAAATGTTGCTGCACCGGTTGAACCCATGAACCAAAATGTTGGCCCTGCAAATAATATTGGTAGAGGTAAGAAGGAATACAATATTTGATATTAGCTTAGAAATCAAACTGTTCTACCTTTATATTTCTCCAAAGTTAAAGGCTGCATCCTATATCGTTTTATTTTTGGCCATATTTTAGTTGCAGGTAAAAGGCTACAAACACTAACCTATCTTTCTCGTTTTAGTTCTACCAGTAATAGACACGGATCCCACAGGAAGGGTGTATGATCTCATCTGTAGAGAAATAGGCCAGAAATGGAAAGATTTTGCAAGAGCTCTAAAAATCGGAGAAGGATATATAGATCAGTTAGAATACCAACACCGCAGTAATATAGAAGAAATAACTCGACAAGTTATCATATACCACAGACAAATTTGTGATCCTCCATATTGGAAATATAAGCTTACGCAAGCACTAGATGAGGCTCGCCGAAAAGATTTAAGTATGAAAGTCCAAGAAATATTTGCCATGTACAGCTCTCTGTAACATATTTTGAACTTTACTCACAATGTGACACGATTTTTAACAGCATTTTTCAATGTAAAAATGCAAATAAGTGAAAAATGCCGTTAAATTTTACTCTCTAACTTCAAGTGTGCTAATTCGGGAGATGATTTGATTATGTGATTGTTACAGGTATGTATCTAGTGTAGTGTATTAATGTATGTGATTATTTGTGTTTATATTCATTGAATCTCCCGACTTAATAAACTAACTATAGTTATATAATATATAATTCTGCTATGGAATTATAATTTGTCTAATATTTAAATGCACCCGTCTGTGTTGCTTTAGATATTAGCTATTATATATATTCATAACTGGTACAAGATGATAAATATGGTTGTAAAACATTAATTTTATTAAGAATGCTGTAATCAAAAATTCTTCATTTTTACTCATAGATTTGGAATGCTTTGATAACCAATTATAGGTTATCTGTTCAGCCCGAAGTTTTGATGCAAATTCACTATATTATTATTATTATTATTATTTTATTATTCTCAATATTGATTGGGAACATTATACAAGGAAACATTTTTAACATAGTTTTTTAATGTGATTTTAATGTAACCGATGAAAATGGTAATAACCACTAAAATTGAGTAGAAATTAGTGATTGGCAGATGCAAGTATTTCTTAGAATCAAGTACTGGGTTCTCGGATACTTCTAAGAATCAAATGATTATCTGAATACAGTGAATCGAGAACCGAGTGCCAAACGAAAGATTGAACGTTGAATGAAGAACGTTTTTATTATATCAAGTTTTGTGCAGAATTATTTAAATTTGCTGCTTTTCAAATACATTTTCCAACAAAGTTTATTATTTCAATGTGTTCTTTCCTTTGCAATAAGTATTTTTAAAATCATAAACAATATGTGGGTAGATGCAGAATATTTGACATTGTTTGTGTTTACGAGTCATCCGTTTATTCAAGTCAATGGTTTTTAATAACCACCGTGGACTAAAAGTATTTCAATTCTTTCGATTTATTCGATACTTACGCTAAGTCAGTAGTTGATTTAAATTCATTCGAATATTTCCCGCACTCGAGAACTCGACACCTCGCATGATATTTTGTAGGTAACCTGGCAACTATCGAGAACTAAAAGTATTTGAGTACTTTCGGCAAGTGTTCGAGAACAGCGAGTGCTTTTAAGAGATTTAAGAATCGGCTGGTACTTTTTTTCATTTGAATTCTCCCATCACTAGTAGAAAGAAGCAAAAGTAAATATTTTGTATCATATTGCTGCCCTCTTTTTCATTTGCTATTTGTATGTATTAATAAAGATTATTTACACCATTTTGGCATACCTAATAATATGAGTCATATATCCAGCAGTTAAAAGGATTATCATGAAATATCTATAAACTGGTTTGCTGTTTAATGATAACTGTTGTGATAATCAGTAGAAAGTTGCAATGTGATTTATTTTTAGTGAAAAATTACTCAACATTTGAGATTTTAATTTAAGCGAAATAATGCAGTGTCAGCTATAGCCTGTTGATAAATTCCTGCAACCTAGCACTTATCTTAACAAAAACAAACAGAATGTATTTCCTAAAAAAAACAAACAGGATACATTTCATTAATAACAGGTCTTTGAATCAATATTTGCTTTAAAAATTTTAGCCAGTTTTTATTTGTCTAGTATGTGTTTATTTTATGTCTACAAAGGATAATTGCAGCAGATAATAGAGACAAGTAGAAATATATAGATCTGAAATAAATAGTATCTTGCATTATTTGAGGATTAGTGTAAGGCTACTTTTATCTGTTTGGTGAAAATTAAAATGGTAATATTTTTATAAGGAAATGTAGGATCTAACTTTTTTTGAAGATGGTTCTAAGCCCACATAGGCATGAACAAATTTTTACCCGTTAACGCCTGAAGGGACATATTTTTTTTTTATTTTTCAACAGCTGCAATGAAAAAATGATCGTAAAAAAATAAAAAAATTAACATTTCCGACATAAAATCATCTGAACTTTCAGAATATGTGATCATATTCCTCAAAAAAGACCGAATTTTTCACTTAAAATTTTTTTTCAAACGATTTCTGCATTGAAATCGGATAAGGATGAAGTGGACTGAAAATATCTTGGCATACGACCCTAAACTTGAAGATGCATGCATCCAAAAAATTTTTTTTGAGGCCTTAGTGACCAAAATGCCGGTTCAAAGGAAAAAACCTCAAAATTTTTAGGATTTTTTTTTTTCTTGAAAATGGTGGAGCTTCCGAAAAAATTTTATAGATAAAGTTGTTAAAATTATGCAAAGAAACCGCTCAAATTTTTGTACAATTTTTTGAGACTCAAATTTGGCTGTTTTTTTAAAATTCCAAAAATTCTGAAAAAATTTGTGTATTCTCATGAATTTCAAGAACTTTTTGTTCTATAAAATTTTTTCTGAAACCCCGTAATTTTTTAATTTTTTTACAATCTTTTTTTTCATTGCCATTGAAAAATGAAAAAAAATACGTCCCTTTAGGCGTTAACGGATTAAATGAAATTTGTTATATTAAAAATATAAATGAATGTGGCCGACGTTGAGATCTCAAGAATGGTTGCATATAAATACCAAATTTTTTAGATACAACCAAGTCCTTTTTTATTTTTTGCGACATTACATTTTCTTTGTAGTTATATCTAATTACATTTTAATTTGATATTAATATTCCATTGTACATATTTTATAGTAATTGTAACTAAAACACATCAAAATTTTGTAAAATATATTTTACACATATTTTATAAGAAATAAAAATGAGTTTCGAGATTTCAGGGTCGGAAATCTTTGTTTTCTTCATAATGAAAGTTCTCTATGTGAGCATAGAAATGATTCTTTAAAAAGTGACATGGTTTCCACGTTCCATTGGTGTTAAGATACTAATTTTTACTAACTTAATTCAGTTTTCAATTTGTTTTATGGCTTTTGACAAAAATATTTGTGATAAAATAAAGTGATACATCACATCAAATGCAGAACATTACAATGGCCTTTTTATAAATTATTCTGAAAGAAAATAGAAGGTGCTCTATGATTTTATTAGGATTATAGGTTTTTTTTATGTTATTGACTTTTGTTTATTTTAAATATATTCAGCTAATTAAAATATATATAAAAAAAATCTTCAAAATTTATTAAAGAAAGTCAATGTTCTTTTATATCAAAAACCTAAGTATGCGAAAGATATCTAACCTCATAGACATGATTCTTAACCTATGATATTGTGGGAAACTACTGCCCTCTGGGAAATATCTAGAGAACAGCTATAGTAATTAACTAAAACAAGAATTGAAAATTATCTTATATATTTAAATATTATTAATCGAAAATCACGAAGCTGACATATCGAAATCATGTAGTCTTTCACAGAAATATCTTACTTTTGTTATTCTGACGTCACCTTTGACACAAAATAACGCATAAATATAGCCACGATAGATAAATTTGAGCTATTTCTACATTTTGACAATTGATTTTAATTGCCTATTTAAGTGGCCACATTTTATATGGAATTAATGAATATTAATAAGAAAATTATACATAAAACACAAAACTTTTGAAAAATTTATATATTGAAATAAAAATATTACCTAAATGTAATACTTAAAATACTTAAATGTTGCTCTTTGTCAAAGGTGATGTTAGAACATGAATTTTATTTTTTTTAAAGATTATTTTATTTCAATATATCAAATTTGTGTTTTTCAAATAAGTCATATTCAGATACATACATCATTTTTAATTTTTACTACCTTTCTACATAACTTGCTTGTAGGTTTTTAATATTAAAAAACATTGACATTTGATAAGATTTTTAGGATTTTTTTTCAATTTATTTTTATATAATAAAATAAAATAAAAGATTGATTGTATTTTAACATTGGGGTCCTTGTTTTTTAATTTTATATTATCGTTTAATTTGTTGTTGATTACTGTAATATATTTATCAAATAAAATGTATTTTTAGACCTTTAATTCATTGTTCTCTATCCCATCCGACACCAAGATCTGGCTACAGTCGTATTCTGATTCATGTATTAATGTTTTTTTAATATTGCAATAATGTACCTACAATTAAAAATTGTAACCAAGTTTAATCGTGTTGAATTTTATTTACTAGTCTTAATCTTTTGTCATAAAAAACAAATAATTTCCTAGGAAAATCAGTTTTTAATTGATATCATTGTACCCAGAAAAAATACTCGAAAGCTGATTTACTATATAGATAACAGATAAGTAGTAGGTCACTTTTGTAAATAAAAGTGTATATCGAATTTAGAGACTAAAAAAAAATATTAAACAGATTCAAATAAATGATAAGTGAATTCAAAATATAAGTATCGTTACCAATATTTTTTGTAGGTATATAGTGTCCCAAATTGTAGGTATATATCAAATGTTACTATGGAACTGAAATTCAAAAAAAAGTCCTTATAACATGGATTGCTTAGTTTCTGAGATACAATTCAAGATGAAATTCCTAAAAATGTTTTTTTTAATATCCAAAATGCCTAAAAATAAACATTAAAATTTGCTTTGTAGGACAGAATAACAAATAAGCTACAGGCTGTTACAAATTCGCATTTCACTACAGAGATCTCAGAAATAATAAGAAATATGAACTAGCTTAAATAGGGGCAAAGTTGCGTAATCAGGGGATCAACATTATGCCTCAAAAATCAAGGCTTAACATGATTAGTCGAAATATTTGAAAAAAACGAAATTTGGGAAATCCCATTTTGTTTCATTTCAGCCTTGTTTGAGGTGATATTGAAAAGAACACATTCTCATGACAATTTTTTGCCCTCTATCGAATGGCATAATCAATTTTTATATGTAACGTTTCATTTTTTTTTGGAGGACTAACATTATGCCTCTAAAAAACCAAGGATAATATGATTAGTTTTCGAAATATTTGAAAAAAAAAACGAAATTTTGGAAATCCACTTTTGTTTCATTTCAACTCTGTTTTGAAAAAAAAACACTTGCTCAGGGCAACTTTTTGCCATGCAATTTTTATATGTAACGTTTCATCTTTGCAGGATCATCAACTTCATATTTTTAAATACGGCCCTAGAAATTCTACATTTTTGCAAACCTTCATGATCCCCAATATACTGTACTGCCTCAGCCCGAATCAGATTCAGACGTTTTGTCTTGAAAAATTCATCTTCAACGTATTCGTTTCAAATTTATCTAAATTTTTTATTTAGATTTCCATGTCTATTGAATTATTATACACTCTAACCGTCATTAGACCCTGTGAAATCCACCTAGTTATTGAAACTATTATACCATTACCTTGTCACACCTAACTCGATAAGTTGTTGCGTCAAAATTAAAACATTACAATTTTAATTTTATTATGACAAATTAATTGTTAAAAATGCATAGGAACACCCAAAACGCCAAACTTTAAAAAACATTTTCGTTTTGGCAAATGTTGAAAAGGAGATAAACGTAATATTATTAGAATTTATTATACTTGTAATCGCAACTGTGAAAGAGCATGTCAGATGTATTTGTATCAACATTCTGAAAAAAATTAAATCAGAATTTGTTTGAATTTTGTGCACTTGAGAAGCCTAGAAATAACTAGAGGCAAGGGATTAAAACTCTAATAATGTTCTAGTGTAATACGTGGTGGTAATAGTTTAAATTTAAATAACTAGGTGGATTTCACAGGATCTAATGACATTTAGAGTGTACGATAATTTAATAAGCATAGAAATCTAAATAAAAAATTTTGATAAATTTGGAACGAATACATCGAAGATTAGTTTTTCGAGACAAAATAATGTGAGGTAAATTTCATCAATTCCTCCATGTTGAAAAAAAATAAATATGAAAATCGTTTCAATATGGCACACTGTATATTTACAAAAAAAATTGTAAATTCTACTTTCACATCCCATATTTCAAAAATTAAACTTTACAAGATCTATGATTAAGAAAACTATTTTCTTTATATTTGTAATATTCTTTTTTATTCTCTCTGTAGACTACAGAACATGAGTTTTCAAAATATCGTCTCGTCTTAAAATTGTTACTTAAAATTTGCAGGTATCTTTTGGTTAAATTGTTTAATATGCAGAATGCACTTAGTTTTTCAATATACAGGGCGTTTGGAAAAGTTAGTACAAAATTTAAGGTGATATAGTAAAAAAAGTTGCTATAAAACATTGGGCTTAAAGGAGTCTTATCATTTGGATATTTTTTGTATAATGAATATAAAAATATGAATGGAAAATATTAATTCTATGGAGGAATGTATTTCTATATTATGCGCTCTAGGAGAATGTGATCGGGACCCTAGTACCTGTTAGTAAATGTAAAATATCGGCGCAAAAAAACGTAGAGGGACAGCCCTTCGACCACCCCAGACAATCGCCCCTTACGCCCTTAGGAAAATACGTCCCCGATTCTATGAAAAAGTGAAAGTAAAAAAGAAACTATACTTCTGAACTCAAATATCCACAAAACCGTAAAATTAAAATTATAAAAGTGATTTTATTAATAATATATAATGAATTTATATATAAATACACAAGGTTAGAAATTACATGTGTTAAAATTATAAAATATATTGTAAACAAGTTATATCTTTTTCTTATAACAAGACAGAAAATCATTCATCAGCAAGAAGAAACAATAAATAATTCCAAAACGAGTATAATAATAAACCATTCAAACTCAAAATTAATTCATTCTAAAAAAAAGAGAATACAAAATACAATTAAAAATAAAGTTAACATTAATCAATATTTAACTCTGAGCTAGGATCATTGTTTAGCCCGCTAAACAGTGTAAGAGTATTTAGAGACTGAACCTGTCTTTTCGATCGTATCTTTATGCACTTGATATCCTAAAATCGTTCTCGACGGTATGCGCAACCTTTCTTTCAATTTCCTTCCTATTTCCAAAACTGCTACACCGTTTTGTGCATCTGAGGTCCAAATTCCTTGAAACATAATTAATATTAAAAAAAGTAACATATAAACGCTTATATTAATAATTTTAACACCCGATGGAATTGTGCACACACTGTTCTCACTTACCTATTTTATCACCTTTCTGCCTGATATTTACAACAGCCCCACAAACTTCATCAGAATTTTCGAAAGCTTCTCCAATTAAGCATAAAATCTTTAACAAAAACACAATTAATTTAATGCAACGATCTCAAAATGTTTAAAAACTTACAATGTCCAACCAATATCGATCCAATTCGTTGGTTCTTTGTTTCCTGTCTAAACTGAGAAGCCACCGACCACCTCTCCTATTAGCTTCATCTTCCCACATGGGTTTGATTCCTTTCTTGAAAAGGGAATAATCAGAGCCTTGTCTCAGTTCACTTGCAGGTTTGATGTGATTGTACAGGCTGAAATGTATCACGTCACTATAACATATAATTAATAATTTGTCTCCAAATACCTCCAAAAATCTTCCACTGTTTGAAACGAAGCAATTTCCTTCTGATTTTGTGCCCACGACTGCGTTCTGTCATTTTCGTAGTACCACAGTGTCCAACAGTTCTGCAGAGGATGTTTTATCGAATAGTCCATTGGAATCTCCAATTCGTTATCGCTCTTTTGGTCGTTTTTTTCGATCTAAAATAAAGTCATTTGTTAAATCAACTTAAGTTTCAAATAACTCACAGCTCACTGTGTCGGAAAAGAGGAGAAAGCACCTAATTCTTAATTTTTTATTGTATTTTACAATATGGCAGTAAATTAAGGGTACTTGGGTTGCCAGAGAAACAGTTATAAAAGAACACAATATTGAAAAAGTCGGGTAACTAGTTATTACAGATGACATTCATGCTATTAGGTTCTAATGTTACATGTATTTTTACCTCATTTTCCACTGAATTCGTAGACATTTTGATAGCCGAACTGCAAGCCTACAAAAGAAAGTTGCAGGTTAACTTAGCCAACACAACATGGATTAGGGAAAGAAATGTCACTAGATTTAGGTTTAGTTACTAACTAGGCCATCATTTTGTGGTTGTTTTAAAATTATGTGATGTGATGAAGTTCTCGGCATTTAATTGTAGCAAAAATTGGCGGGTAAAGATAATAAAAGTATTTAAGAAATTAGTTTGTTTAACTTACGGTCATGTCTGGAATATATACTTAATTTAAAATACTGCAGTATAATGCAAGTATTTGACAGCATAACAAAATGAAATCTGTCATGTTTGTTGCTAAGAAATTTTATATTAAATGAATGGTTAAAATAATCATTGGAAAATCTTGAAAATGTCTATATTTCACAAGTTATTTTATGAAAATTTAGGATTTATATAAAGAATTTTAACTTACTTAAAACAATAAAATCACTTGAAACTGATAATATACAATATGCCTGTTTGTTATTGTTAATTTCGGGAAAGAAAGCTTTTCTCAAGAATTTTCTAAATAAATTGTTCCTATTTAATACCTGATATACCTGGATATACCTACATTGGATATTTGCAATTACAAAAACAGTAAACAAATGCAATAAGTTTTTATATAGGAGGAAGAAATAAAATAATACCTACTTAAATTAAAAAAAACATATCTCTTTCGTTTACTTTGAAAAAGTACCTATATGTATACTTCTTAACGTGTACTATTTTAAATTTTTTACCTATAGATTGAGTATTTGAGAAATTGATGGAATAACTATTATAGATATGGAAGAGAATTTAGCGTGCATTCTTCATCAAGGTAAGAACCATAATTATGTTAATATTTTATATTTAGCACTTTTATCGAAATGTTGAATAATAATGTTAAAATAAAAAAACAAAAACAAAAAACTTCGTACTAATTTATGAATATGAAAAAGTAAAAGTGATATTTATATATAGACCTGGCGGGATCTGTTTTGGTGTAGGTACTTTAGATGTTTTATATACATAGTATCGCTAATTTTTGCTTTAATGGCTCCAAAATGATATAACAAAACATAATTTCACTATGTGCGCGCTTCAAAATGTGTGCTAAACTTATTAAACAAATGGTGAAACAGTTGGAAAAAATTCCATTTTTTTTCTCTTTTTTTCAACACAGTTCAAAAACTATTCATTTTAGAGAAAATTTCTTAATTAATTATACGTTTCAAATAAAAAAATACAACATAATTTTTGCAAATATAGCAAAAACAAAAAAAGTGAAAAAATCACAATACTTTTGCGATTTTTTTAAAAGTACTTATAGGTAGGCCAAACTTGGCCAAAAAATGTTTTTAATATAATAAAACATCACACCAATTTTCGTTAAAATCGGTTCCATAGTTTTCGAATAATAATTTTGCAATCCAAATTTTTGAAAAAAAATTGAAATTTTTGCAAATTGAGCTGAGCCTAAATTAAAACTTCTAGATACTTTATCAGATAAAAAAGGCCACTCAAACTTTAAAATTCATTATAATTATTTTTTTTAATTATGGTTTTAAAGTACTCGGAAAGACGCTTCTTTGAAAAAAAAAACGTGGTGATTCGTTAAATTGGTTCCAGGGTTATACCTATATATAGTCGATCGAAGTTGACCGGCATTTGTGGCGTAACTACGAGGTCTGGAGGGCTGTTTTTTAAACAAATATTTTGTCATTCCGAGTACTTTCCGGAACTGAATTTGTAAAACTTGCGCCTTTGTGCAACCCATATAAAATGTCGATTAAATTAAAACTATTGGACCGAGCATGAAATTTAGGAAAAATGTATGGGAGGTAGTGGTGGGAGGTCGAGAGCTCGGCTACTAATTTTGATTATCTCGGCTTCTAGTGGTGCGATTTTGATGTTTTCTTTTTAATCGATGTCTCGCGAGCTGAAAAGTTCAAATATCGCATTTTCAAATGCGAATTATTGTTAATTATCGACCTGGTCTACTACTCGATTTACCGGTAAAATTACTAATTTATTATTATTAACCGTGTTAACGATAATTATCTCTCTAATTAATGATCTGTCTTGATGTGGCCAGTGAATATAGTGCATATAGTAAGGTAATTAAAGAGCTTTCTGCATTGTGATACAGATACCTAGTAACAGTAGTGAGAGTGGCATATAAAACCATATCCATGACAGACTATGGGGAAAATGACACAACCTAATTATCTAAAGTAAAAATTGTCTAAGATTAGAAAACTGGTAAACATAGGTTTTTGGGGTCGCTGATTACTATATTGATATTTAAAATTACGAAAAATAATTAGTCTACCAAAATGTTTGCAGTTTTTTATAAACTTTAAGTAATATCTACTTGGTTTCTTGTTTTGGAATTGAATACATACAGGGTGTCCCGAAATTCATGCAACAAAATTTGGTCATAGATTCTTAAGACAAATTTAGGGAACCCGTATTTTTTCTTTTTGCCAACTGGCCCCCTCTTTCAGAGGTACAGCCTCCTGAAGTCTGCCCCTAAGAAGTCTTTTTTATATCTCAATATCATGTACGAGAATCACTAAATTTGGTACACAGTGGTTTTATGACATGTGGAATCTTACAGTGCTACGCTTTTTGCCGAGAAACCCCCTTAAGACACTTTTTCGTGGGCTCCCTTGTCTTTGGAACCAGAAAAATATGGTCGCAAATTTGATTTTTTTTTTAAATTATTAGTTTGCTAGTCATTGAATTTAGAAACTTTTTTGTTTCTTGATATTTTTTTCGTAAAACGCAATGTTTTTGAGGAAAATGGCGAATCACGATATGCATTCGATCACATTTTGACATTTTTCTCGAAAACATTGCTTTTTACGAAAAAAGTATAAAGAGACAAAAAAAGTTTCTAAATTTAATGGTTTTCTACTGGACTGATAATTTTTAAGAAATTTAAATATGCGACCAAATTTTTTTGGCTCCAAAGACAAGGGGGCCTACGAAAAATTGTCTTAAGGGGGTTCCCCGCCAAAAAACATAGCACCATCAGATTCCACATGTCATCAAACCCCTGTGTACCAAATTTAGTGATTCTCGTACAACAGGGTTCTGAGGTATAAAAAAAGATTATTCTTAGGGGCGGACTTCAGGGGGCTGTAACACCGAAAGAGGGGGCTACTTGGTAAAAATAAAAAATAAGGGTCCCCGAAATTTGTCTTAAGAATCTGTGACCTAATTTTGTTGCATGAATTTCGGGACACCCTGTATAGGATTTTGTTGTCGCTGATAATGGATTTTATATTAAAATTGACGAAAAATTATTTTTTCCCTAAAATTAATGCAAATTTTGTGCAAACTTTATATGTACTTGGTTTCCTGTTTTGAAATACCTAAATATTAGGTTATAATTTCGAAAATAAATACAGGGTGTTCCTAAATAAGTATCGCAACAGAAAACTGTAAATTCCTCTTTAAAAAGAAAAAAAAAATTCCTCCATTTTTCTCTCCGGGCTTTCGTTTTCGAGATACACGGTGTCAAAGCTTTAATTTTTATTTTAGTTTTTTTGCCAATATCTTAGGAACCGTTTGAACTACACGACTGAGCTTTTGTACACACATTACCACTATTAATAGCTACTGTTTCGCACCCTTCTCGAATTCATTGGACGTGCCAGTGGTGGAGATTTTAAGGTATCGTAAGGGTTTTCCCCCCTAACTTTTACGCCACTGGAAAAATTGACATTTGACAGCACATTCTAGAGCACCAATGAATTTTACACAAAAAGAGTTCTCTTGGTTCATTGCTCTAAAGTCAACCGTTTTCAAGAAAAATGACTTCTTATGAACATAAACAAACATTTTGCTAACGTTTCGAAAATCTTTTGTAATTCAAAAAATAGGTAGTAATAATTAATAATTTTAACGAAATATAGGTATATCCGACTGCCGTTTCAAGAATACTTTTAATTTTAGATACTTTCCAATTTCGATATTATTGTAGACATTCAAAGTAGCTCTGAGCATCTTTAACACCTTTGCTTAATTCAGAAAAATATACCAATAGTACATTTTCTGAAAAAGACAATGTTATTTCCAGTCAATATTTCCAATCAATAATTTTTTATGTGTTTGCCGATACCTACATCTTCAATTTTTTTTGGAAATAAATTACACTCTATCTACTTTGCTGATTCAATAATTTCTAGCAGAGTTAATGTGAATGTTTTCATCTCAAATAATAAATAGTTATTTTTATGTATTTAAATAGGAACAATATGGCGATTACTGTGCACCTAATAAGTTATTTACTTAATAACGCTCCTCCCGTAGCCACCACAGATGACTTGATGAAATTATTATTATTCATGAAAGAAGTACCATACAATTTTAATAGTATAAAATAAATAGCTTTGTTTGCTATTATGACAAAATTAAAATTCATTGGCGAAAAAAATATGTGTGTAACTTGGCAGTAAAGTAGATTTAATGCCTTGGCTGCTTTAATAGACTCGGCTACGCCTCGTCTATTAAATAAGAGCCTAGGCATTAAATCTTGTACTTTACTTCCTAGTTAAACAAATAACTAGTTTTTAAATTGTTTTAACTAAAAATATCTGTAATTGTGTCCTACCTTATATTTGGATTCTTGTGTCAGGGCGGCTGTTCACTTAAATAAATAAATAAATTACTACTGACTTATTTCACCTCATCCTCCGCAATTACTTAAAAGAAAATTCTCCATTAAGTGTGAAGACAGACCCAACAACTGTGCGGTGTGGAACCGCTGAAAGAAAGCCTGGAAGAAAATCCAGTTTTTTTTCCTATCCGACCCATTTCGCAGCGGAAAAATAAAATATTTTAAAGGCCTTTTGTGCCAGAAAAAAGAATAGCGCCCGCAAACTTCAAAGTGAATGGGGTCGAGAGCGCGCGCAATGGTCAAACCGAAAACGGCGCGTATATAAATGCAAAGACGCCCGCGTCGCCTTCAGTAGTCGACGCGTCGCGACGCGAATTTCACCACCGCCCCCACGGCCGCTCCAGGGTAGCAGCAAAGTTCTCGTGCCAGACGGCAGC